ATGTCATTATTTCTTCTTATGACTATTATTATTGTTAGTAGTACTATTAGTAGTATTAATAGTCTAAGATAAAACAAGAAAGTAGATTAGAATTTTTTTTCTCTTTTTTTTGAAAAAAAGAAAGAAAAACAACAACAAGGAAGTTATATAGTTGATTTCCTGTGTTGTGCCACTTTTTTTCACCCTTTCTCTCTCGTTCCCAAACTCACCCTCAACCCCCCTCTCTCTCTTACACACACACACACGCACGCACGCACGCGCGCGCGCGATGTTTCTCTAGTAAAATTTTGTCTAATTTTTTTTCTTAGAAAGTTTACTCAACATTAATGAATAAATGACTACTTATCTAATAAATTAATCAGTAGTATGTTTGTCCATATGTTTAAAGGCATATTAATTATTGAATTTAGATAAATTGGGGCTTTTTTTCCTTACAGAAGAGAAAAAAAAACAAGGTGATTTTTTGATTTGATAAAATTTTCAACTTGAATATGTACAAAGAATCCAGAATGCGTAGTTTTTTTCTGGGGGGGGGATTAGGGGTTAGGAGGACTCATCAGCTGAATATACATGTGTATTCTAGAGTTAATGTTCATTTTGGGACTCGAACTAAATACTATAAACTTCAAATGTAATAAGATGAAGTTTTATTCATTTTTGTATTGTTTGTTTGAATCTTTCTATGAATGTTTAGGATTGTAATTGATCAGTCTCTTATTCTGAATGTATATAACTTGAGTTTATCTAAACTGAAGGTAATTTAAAAGTGAGATTTATATCTGTGACTTATTAGCTAAACGTTGAACATCTTGACTATTGAATTACCACTGTAACCATCGTTTTTCCTCCAAGTGCTCTGGTACGACCGGAAATGGGGAGAGTCAGCTCTCCTTCTTAAATGTTCTCACATGGTCACGCGTATAAAAGCCACCACCAGAGAAGTCCTACTCACTGCTTTCTCGCACCACGAGTGTTGTTTACGTAATTCGAAGGACGAAAAGCGAATGCCCGGTGTTTTAACCGGTTTAATGGACACGGAGAGTCCACCTAGGTGAGTTGGAAAATCCTGATTCCAAACCAACAGTACACATGATCTTCAGGATCCTGAAAGAATAAATGGTGTATGAACTAATTATTGGTCACCAGCTACCATGAGACTCCATCTCTTCACGTTACTCTACTGCCTTGTGGATTAGACCTTTAAGTCAAGGGCTCCAGTTGTGACCCCCTAAGAAAACCACCTGCTTCGGTTTGGGCAATCGGGCAGTATTACATCCCATACACAAATCAAATGAGATTTGTGTGGCGCATAATGTATCTGGTCCTCTTTTGTACCAATATCTATGTGTTCAAACAAATAAATAAAAAAATAAAAACACAACTAGTCTGGATAGTTCATCTAAAACAATCACCTGTTTCGGTTTGGAACCCCGGACAGTATCCCAGTCTTCACATAAATTGAATGATTTATGTGAAGCATATCTATTTCATGCCTGTTTATGTGTTCAAATAACTAAACAAATCATTGACAACCTAGAAGCACTAAACAGCTGTTCTCTTCTGGTATGGAATTACTCAGTAGCGTTCATCTATGATCCTGGAACCGAGAACCAAACCCAAGACTCAAACTTTCAGTGGTTATCGTACTTGAATCGATTCAATAATCTCCACAACCCTAGACCGATAATATGAAATCTCACAACGGCAAAGTTCTACTCTATTGTTGTCATTTGACTGAAACCTAATTATATAACCACTTATTTCTTGTCCTTTAATCAATCACTGCTATCAATGTTCCAGAATATTCTTTCGTATAAAATACATATTTTCAATGTTTTACACGTGTACTGACTATGATGATACATATTTTAACTAATTCATAGCTATATTCATTTTTGTAAGCATTTTCACTTCTATCCTTTGAAATATTACAGGTTATAATCAGTATTCACTTGGTGTTCTTTACATGTATCTTCGAGTTCCAGAGTGAACATCAACTCTCAGATGCAGATACATTGTCCAAATAAGACGAAAAGCGAGTCCTGGATTCCACTCCTATCCATTAACCATCTTTGCTTATAATCAGTAGTTGATGTTAACTTAATAAAATTAGCATGAACTGTCATGTCATCCTGATTAGTTTGTTTGATAAGTTCATGAAGAAAACTTTGTAGCCCCCCCCACACACACACACATAGTTACTATGTTGTAACTGCATTTCAACTGACCAATCTCTGTTAATAATAAATACATTCTGAAGTGGATTTGTTGTGAACAATGGAATCCAAGAAGTGCATTTCATCCTGACACATTCGTGTTTAAAGAAATAAGAATTCAAGTGAATCAAACTGATGAGTCCCAATTAGGACGAAACACACATCTTAGATTCCATTGGTTATTTATAACGAAATAAAAATTAGATTTTCTATTAGAATGATATAATCTATGATACTATAGGATAACTAGAAAGTACTAGACGAGTACTTCATTTCAAGATGGTGATTTTCAACAATTAACATCCATAACTTATCCAAGGATTAAATGAAAAAGTTTCAGAATTTCAAGTGATTGTCTTACATTTCAAATCACTATCTAATACCTCATATTTTCAAATTAAATTAATTAGAGGGAGTTTCGTGGAGACTTTAGTAATTTAATAGTTATATTCATGAGTCCATCGAGTCTAGACTATCATGGAGAACCTAGAAGCACTGAAGTGGTTGAAGATAGACATTAACACCATTGAATACCGGCCCAGTAGATTTAATGGTTAAATGTTCGTGCATGAAACTGATAGATCCTGCGTTCGAATCTCACGAGACGAGATCATGGATGCACACTGCTGAGAAGTCACACAATAGGACGAAACGGCCATCCAGTGCTTTCTTATCTTAAATCTTCGATATATGAGTTGTCGCTGGAAGTTTTGAAAATTATCTCTAAGGTAAATAATTCATCCTCAATTCTGAGAGATTTGTAGATTTTACTTCAAATTAGTTTGTCTTTTAGTTATGATCACATAGTTTAACAGTTCAGTATTTATTCATACATACCTTTCTATTCCATTTTATTTTTCTTTGAAACATATACTCATTGTCCAGTCCTTCTTCTTCTTATGATTGCTACTACATTGTTTACCACTCGTTTACTGGTCACAGTGTTAATTTCATCTCATGGTGGTACAATGATATGGTAGCTTGTGCCAATCTTTATCAATCCCAGGCTGTACTTTAATAATTATTGACTTAGTGTTTATCACAGATGAATATTACAAGTGTAGATTGAAGTTGAGCCTTTTACTAAAGCAATGAACCAAGTACTTCTCAGATAATTTAAATCTGTAATAAAATTCCACTGCAACGGTACGTCAGATTGATAGTTGAAGATAGTCAACAGAAAATCCTAATAAACAGAGATTTCATACTATCTGGCACTATTCATTAAAGTATACCTGGAATCTTCAAGGAACCAGTACTAGTACGTAGAGAATTTACATCCAAGCGATTCAAATTCATATTGTAAGATGTCAATACAGGGTTATTCAACCAGTCATTGATCTTTCATATAACTGATATATTCACAGTAACTAATCACTAAGAATTATTCACGTGAATATTAACTAGAGGTGAACTGAATGTTACAGATATTATCCATCATTATAATTGTTTCCTTCCATTAATTAAACATATACCCTATCAATTTAATATAATAAAAAATTCCTCAATTCAGTCGACTGTTTTGGATTAAAATCATGAACCGATTGATGTTAGACCACCGTTAGAAACCTGGAAGCACTGGACAGCCGTTGCGTCCTAGTGTGGGACTCCTTAGTGACCTCACACGCGAGATTCAAACCCAAGGCTTTCAGTCTCGTGCGCGAACGCTTAACCTGCTATACCACTGAGCCAGTATCCAATGGTGTTAATGTCTAACTTCAACCAATTCACGAAATTATGCGACCATCTTCCATTGTACTGAGGTAGATACCTGTCGCTACCCGACATAGATTAGTTCCACTGATCACTGCTTTTCACCAGAACTCCGAAAATTCCCTCGTGAAGTTAGTCACTAGTCAGTATATGGTAAATACCAGCAAAAACGTAATAATCTCCATAACCCTTATACTGATAATTGCATTCGAACCCCGAGAGCGGGATCGTGCATTCGACTGTCCTCACTCGTGTTCTTGTTCACTACAGTAGTAGTAGTAGGTAGTAGGAGGAGGAGGAGGAGGAGCAGGAGGGGCAGGAGTAGAAGCAGGAGGAGAGCAGGAGGAGGAGGAGGAGGAGGAGGAGAAGGAGGGAGAGTTTTATTAGTAGTATCGGTAATTATCTTAATAATTCATCATTCAAAATTAAACTATATTTTATTCAATTTTCAACAAAAAATTAAGAGATAAATTTAATAAAGAATAAAACAAAAGAAAAATAAAGAAAAAGAAAAAAAGCAATAAAAGTAATTTTTTTGTACAAATTAAACGAATAAATAATGAATTGAACCTAGTAACTAAAGTAAATTAAACCGAGATCAAGACAAGTCATGGCAACAATATTATTGATTAATAATAAGGATAATAATAATAATAGTGGAAAAGTTAATTTACACTTCACTCTTATAGATTTGCACATACAATTGGATTATGATGTGTGTGTGTGTTTTTTTTTCAGGGTAGGTGGGAGGAGGGGGGAAGTTCTCACTCCTATCAACATCGTTCATTCATTTAAAGAATAATTCTAAGATGATGAAGATTTGTAGCTCAACTAGATGAATTTGATAAAGTTCTTTCTTTTCTGTTGGTGTTGTCCTCTGAGCTAGATGGTTTGTATCAATGAACCGTTCATTGTTCTACTAAACAACATTATCATTAGTATAATGATCAAGATTCCCACCTGAATGTTTGTATTCAAAGAATAAAACTTCATCCAAAAACAAAACCCAATAAATCAATAATCAATATTCTATCAAGGAAACAATCAATGTATCATCATTACGTACTATTATTAATCTTTTGTTATGATACAAGGATGACGTAATAAATTATTAAATAATGGTATATTTTGTGTAATAGATAATAGATCATTTGTATTGAATGTTGACCATAGATTCATTGATGTATAAGGTTGTATATTGAATGATGATATTGTTGAATTCATTGGTAAATCCAATTGTAATAATTTAGTTGTATCTATGAGAGATGAATTCACTATAGGACAATAGGATAATGTTGAGATAGCAGGATTAGTCAGAGTAGTAGTAGGAGTGGTAATAGTTGAAGAAGAAGAAGAAGAAGAAGATAATGTATTTTGATATTGTATTAAATCTTTTATGGTTGATTTAAAAGGCCACCAATCTGGAAGTTCCACTAATGATGTACTATCTACTGCATTTGTAGTCGTCGTCGTAGTAGTAGTAGTCGTCGTCGCAGCAGTCGTTGTAGTAGTATTCAATTGATGATCTATTGTAGTAGTTCTTAATGGGAAAGTAGAAGTTCCTATAGTGATTGGTAATTTCATTGATGAATTTAGTTTTGAACAATTTTCTAATTGATGATTAAGATCATTTGATTGGAATAATAATGAGGATGAGGATGAAGATGGTATTTGATGATTGAATTCAATCGATTTAAAAGAAAGTGAATCTTGATCATTTAATCTTGAATGATGATTATAAGTAGTATTAGTAGTAATAGTAGTAGTGTTAGTAGTAGTGGTAGTAGAACTACTACTAATATTAGTAGTATTGATATTAATATGTTCATTATGATTCATTTGTTTAAAATAATTCATTTTACTATCATTATGATTGGTTTGTTTTAATTCATCAGTAATATTGAAATCAGTTTTCTTCTTCATTATTGCTTCCATATTAGCTAGAATAGTTTGTGCTGCTGGATGATATGCCCAATATGGATTCGTTTGTAAAATACGTTGAACTGCTACAAAATTACCAGCTTCAGCGAGTAATTCAAAACCGACAGCAGTTTGACGTTTCCATTTTGTTCTATAATTACGAAAAAAACTGAAGGTATAATGTAAAACTATACATCATTTGAGTAAGTTTAAAATATTATATATGATGTATAGTGACTAGCAGTGGAATCCAGGACACATGTTTCGTCCTGATTGGGACTCTTCATCTGGATGTACCTGCACCACAAAGTTGATGTTCACTTTGGGACTCGAACCTAATACCATTCGCCTCAAATATGATCACGTTATCCACTTAGCTCTTGAGTCCTTATAGCTATCTACATGTGCAATAGGGTGAAGTTGTAACTCCATCTTTGCTTATTATTTATTTATTTTAACACATAGATATTGGTACAAGGAGGCACCAAATACATATGAGCTGTGATACTGCCCGGGTGCGCAAACCGAAGCAGGTGGTTTTCTTAGGGGGCCACAACCCGAGCCTTTGACCTAAAGCTCTGACCCACAAGGCAGTGGAGCATCGTGAGGAGATGCAGTTCCATGGTGGCCGGTGACCAACGATTGGTTCATACGTCATTTGTTCCCTCAGGATACTGGAGCCCATGTGCACCAATGATTTGGTTTGGGATCCGGTTAAATCGCCGGACATTCGCTTTTCGTCCTCTCATTTTTGTAAATAACACCACCGCCACGAGAAGGCAATCAGTAGGACTTCCCTGGCAGAGGCTATATACGCGTGGCCATGTGAGAGCATTTCGAGAGGGAGAGCGGACTTTCCCCACTCTCGGCCGTACCAGGGCATGTGAGGCCTTATCGAGGCAATCCACACAGAATGCACATATGCCAGCAAGAGACTGATCGATTTCAGTCCTAAATAAGAATGAGAAGATACAAGTAAACAACACCAAGTGATTATATATGATTATTTATTGAAATTACAAGACCAATGTTTGTTTGGCAGGCCATTGAATACATGAAAGCATTGGATAGTTCTTTTGTTCTAATACAAGACATCTCGAAAGTGTACATTCACAATGCCGAAACCAAGAGTCAAAAATGAAAGTTGGATTAATATTTCTGTATAAGCTACTCATCCATGGGTCGAGTGAAGTTAGATTTGTATACCATTGTATCCTGAATCAGCAAATTGTGTTATAAGTGTTTACGCGTGACACTGACGATCTTAGATTCATCCCCTTGTGATAAGGTCTTGGATGCACACTACACTAAGGAGTACCATACTTCGGCTAAACAATTGTCTAATGTTCCCTGATTTTCAGCGGTACCGTAAATGTAGCTAATCGGTGATTAAAAGATAAAGTCCATAAAACTGTGTCATCTAAAGTTTATCTATCTAGATATTCAATCTAATACAATTGGCCGCCTTTTATAAAATGTAATATTGGTACATATGTAGTGTACGCTACTTATATCGTCAGATATAAGTAGTATGTAACATCAATCGTATATGGAATGCCTGTGAAAAGAAGATTGAACTGAAGACAAAAAACACAGTTAGGGAAGCATGACACAATTAAAAAATGAAAGAATCATCAGGGATGATGAATAACAACTGATGGAAGATTTGTAAATTGCTTATTTAATGTATGGTTGTTACATTTTACCAAAGAACTCTGTCAAGATGAATCCCTATTTCTGAACAAATTAAATATTAATTTCAATAATTGAGAACATGAGTCAACTGAAACTAGACCACTATGGAAAACCTGGAAGTACTGGACAGCCGTTTCGTCTTATTGTCAGATTTCTCAACAGTGTGCATCCACGAACTCGCCTCGTGAGATTCGAATACTAATCAAACTCATCAGTGATCAACGTTGGTCAATTAGTCGTTCCATAATTGTTTTCTGTAAATAGACCTTTTTAAGGATTCATCATTCTTACTTGTCAGTAGCATATCAAGAAATGAAATAGAATGATCTATTTTATTTGTTAACATGAAATATAGGAATAGATGCCAGTTGATTCAACAATTCTATAACTTACATATCTTTTGTATAGACTAAGTTGAATGTTTTTACATATTTGGGCAGCATCATTAATGAAAATGGTGGATCTAATGAAAATGTGAAAGCGCGGATCGGTAAAGCAAGAGCAGCATATTTACAACTGAAGGACATCTGGAACTCAAAACAACTGTCTGTCAACCAACACCAAGGTCAGGATTTTCAACACAAATGTCAAGACAATTCTACTGTATGGGCCGGAAACTTGAACAAATACGGAAGCCATCATCAAGAAGATGCGGGTGTTTATTAACAGTTGTCTACGCAAAATACTTCGGATCCGTTGGCCAGACATTATTAGTAACAACCTACTATGGGAGAGAACAAACCAGATTCTAGCTGAGGAAATCAGGAAGAGGCGCTGGAAGTGGATAGGACACACATTGAGGAAAGCATTCAACTTCATCACAAGGCAAGCCCTAAATTGGAATCCTCAAGGCCGTAGAAGAAGAAGACCAAAGAATACATTACTCCGAGAAATGGAGACAGATGTGAGATAGATGAACAAGAATCGGATAGAACTGGAAAGGGAGGCCCAGGACAGAGTGTGTTGGAGAATGCTGGTCGGTGGCCTATGCTCCATTAGGAGTAACAGGGGTAAGTAAGTAAGTAAGTAAGCAAGCAAGCAAGCAAGTAAGTAAGTAAGTAAGTAAGTAAATAAGTAAGTAAGTAAGTTGAATGTTTCCCAGTTCAAAGATGAAACAACTCGTTAATATTATGCCTAATAGAAATATCATTATAATCCTACTTCTTTGTCTAAACATTAAAAGCACAACGTAATAATACTTATCTCAAGTGATCAGTCAATAAGTCTATATTTATGTTATTAAAAGTGATATAATCATATGTGGCATATAGTTTCAATTCATAGTATACCAATGAACAGAGAACGAATATTAAACGAGAACATAAACTTTCCAGAAGTATTTCCATTATGAATACTATCAATAAATGGAAAAGTATCATAAACAGAATATTGAGATAATTGCCTTCTATTTGGCTCCAATCTTTTGATCAATCATTTGATTATTTAGTAATAGGATGAATTAAACATTATTAGAGAGTATGGGACTCCTTAACAGTCCTTATCCATGATATTGCGCAGCGAGATACAAACCCAAGACTTATCAGTCTCTCGCGCGAACGCTTAACCTCTAGACCATTGGGCTGACCGGTATCTGACAATGTTAATGTCTAACTCCAACCAATCCATGAGATTGAACCAACATCCACCATTGTCTTCAGTCAGTTACTATCTCACAACAGACCCCGTTGAACTTCACTATTCACTCCTTCTCACTAAAACTCCAGGAAATACTGCTTGAAGCTAGTCACTAATGAGCATATACTGATTAGTATCAATTAGAGCTAGACCACTAGGGAAAACCTGAAGGTACTGAATGGGCGTTTCATTCTAGTACAATCCCGCCTCATGAGATTCCAAAACAGGACCTATCATCCTCAAGACCGAACGCGTGAGCCAGCATCCAACAATGTTAATCTTTAACTTCAATCAATAATGTACGGGATCATGAGTGCTTACTTTTGAAGAGTCCGATAATAGGACGAAACAGTCGTCTAGTACTTCCAGGTTTTCCATGATAGTCTAACTCTTTTAATTCCATATCAATTTATAATCCATTTATAAATTATATAAATCAAACAAACTAACCTACGATTTTGATACCATGTTTTAACTTGTGTATCCGTTAAATGTAATCGTTCAGCTAATTCAATACGATCTTGTACACTTAAATATTTTTGATGATCAAACATTTTCTCTAATTCATTTAATTGTAAATCAGTAAATGCTGTTCTAGATTTCCGAGGTTTCTTCGATTTATTCATTTCATCATTAAGATCATATTCTTTATGATGATGATGATGATGATGATGACGATCATGATCATGATCATGATCATGATAATGGAGATGATATGATCGATGTAATTCATTGGAATGTTCAAATTTTGATGAGATTATTGATTTTTTCTTGATGAATGTTAATTTATGATATGGATCTATTGAATGCGTTGAATATAAAGATCCATTTGAATTCATTTCAGAATATTCATCATCATTATCATCATTATCATCATCACTATTATCTTCTTGTAATTCATTATCTTTATGATTTTCATCATTTGTATTTAAACTATTTGGACTATTTATTGTTGATAGAATGAATTGAGTATTCTCTGAATTCGTTGTAATTTCATTGAAACCTATTTAATTTAAAGAATATAACAATTAGTAATAGTTAAATGTATGAGTCAATGAAAGTTAGATCATCATGGAAAACCTAAAAGTACTGAATGATCATTTCGTCCTATTGTAGAACTCCTCAACAGTGCATATTCATGATCCTGCCTAGTGACATTCAAATCCAGGATCTATCAGTCTCATTAACTTCGATAAATTTCGATAATGGAATGAATAGACGAAGATTATTAGAAGAATTATGTGGGATTCGAACCCAGGACCTTCGGTCTCCAACCCTAATTAATGAAGTAATAATAAGCTAAATTTTACTTAAATCTTATTTTATGCTTATGATAACTTAATCAATGTTCTTCTGTAGGAAGTAATTCTTCATTGTCGAATAAATGAATTGATAAAGGTAATAGATAGGCATAAATTGTGTGGCGCGAGACTGATAGGTCCTGGGTTCGAATCTCGCAGGGTGCGGGATCGTGGATGCGCACCGCTGAAGAGTCCCATACTAGGAAGAAACGGCCGTCCAGTACTTCCAGGTTTTCCATAGTGGTCTAGCTTCAATTGACTCATGATTTCAGTTGAAAAAAATAAATTGTTTGGTTCGAAATGTATATAAATTATAAGTACACCATTTGGTAATGTCGATGATGTAATTGAGTAGACTAAGGTTATTAGAAGAATTATGTGGTTATGTATTTGCATAATACATTTCGAACAATCTGATTACACATAATGTAATTGCTATGACATTTTCATATGAAAACTAGAAGGTCAACTAGACCGATTCAAGGTAAACTGTAACAAAGAAAAATAAAGTACTCAGTAACAATGTGGTTACCACTCTGGATAATAAATCAGTATTATCAGGGTAAGGACAAACTGTTTTTGAACATATAAAGGGGGTTTCAGTTTTCGTATAATCAAGGCTTTAATAAATCTTAGTATACGTTGTTGAAGGCTTTTGTACTGCACTACAAATGCTGACTTGATATCAACCTTATGACCAGTGCGCCGACCAAATGTTTCACAATGGAGGAAGATATCTGTCTATGCTATGATCTTATTTGACCATTGGAATACATTTGTTTCTGCAGCCATTTGGGTATGTGTTCCTCCACATTTACTTGCTATGTAGTTGTCTCCGCACATACATGTAAATAGATAGACACAATAGGATATGACGCAATCCCGTACGTGCTGATTTTGGTGAAACATAGACCCTGTCTTTTCAATAATGACAAATTGGGCTGAACCAAATGTCCTATTGATGGCCAATTTAAGTCTTCGTTTCAACATGAGACCATTTGATTCACCTCTAATTGGTAACAATGAAAATTCGCATTTGGATACCAGAAGCGTCATAGGTCTAATCGTATTGCAACCCTTCCAGTGGTTTATGAACTTCAATGAATAACCATTATTCATGAACGTATCAGTCAAGAGCTTCGTCTCTACTTCAATAGTATCACTAGTACAAATACGAACTTTTTTTAATAAACTTCAATACTAATGAACGAAAAACAACCATGGAAACAAGAATATGGTTCATTGTAAAGATCTATTTTTAGGTACTACTTAAATATATACGTGAAATATTTAACAACAGGTTAATCGGTCAATTCGCCATTTTCACTGTTTAGAACATCCCTCAACGTCGAGAAAAAACAATCAAATTTCTAATGAGAAGGTGAGATCAATGAAGTTTATACTATGTTGTGAAGATGAAATGGATAGACGAGACTATAATTTATGAAGAAACCAATCACATATAAGATAACACGTCTTGGATTTTGGCACAAATTTCACTCATCTATTTGGTTAAATGGAGTTTTGGTATTTTAGGTGATGTCAGTTCGTGATGAAAACCCTAAATATAATTCCTAGCCTCCAAATGCCTTGGTATGGCCGAGAGTGGGATGGGCCCGCTCTCCCTCTTGAAATGCTCTCACACGGACACGCATATACAGCCTCTGCCAGGGAAGTCCGACTCACTGCCTTCTCGCAGTGGGGTGTTGTTTACGAAACTGAGAGCACGAAAAGCGAATGTCCGGCGCTTTAACCGGATTCCAAACCAATGGTGCACATGGGCTCCAGTATCCTGAGGGAACAAATGGCATATGAACCAATCGTTGGTCACTGGCTACCATGGGACTGCATCTCCTTACGATGCTCCACTGCCTTGTAGATTAGACCTTTGGGTCCAAATCTCGGGTTGTGGCCCCCTAAGAAAACCACCTGCTTCGGTCTGGACACCCGGTCAGTATCCCAGCCCTCACACAAGTCGAATGGTCCATGTAGTGCATATGTATTTGGTGCCTCCTTGTACCAATGCTTATGTGTTTAAATAAATAAATAAATTCCCAACCGTAACCATCAACTAAAAATCATAATCCTGATTTCTCATACTTGTTTATAACCCTCATTCTGTTCTAGTTATTAGGTGGACACTCTCAAGGTCACTCAAGCGTCACTCAAATGCCGTTCGTAAATTAACTTCTCACTGATGGATATCATCCATGACAATGAATGATTGTTGATCAATTGTCTGAGTTGATGGAATCTGGAAATCTATACAAACGAACAATAACCCTGTAACGTAATGGTTAAACACTTGACTCAACATTTAAAAGCATTGAGTTCAATCTCTGATAGATTTGTAGTTTCCCACTGATGAAAAATCTCATACTAGATTAGTATAGTTATCTAATATGCCCTGGTTTTCAATTATATTCTACCTAATATCAAAATATGAAAAACACCATTTACATATTAAAGTTTTCTTCACAAAAAAGTTTTCAATAAAAGTGATAATCAGAAGGGGTTTTGTGGATATTGTATTAATTTCAATGGTTGAGATCATAAGTCGATTGAAGCTAGACCACCATGGAAAACCTGGAAGCACTGAACGACCGTTTCATCCTGTAATCGGACTCTTCAACAATGTGCATACAGGACTCCGCCTCGCGGGATTCGAACCCAGGACCTGTCAGCCTCGCACGCGTGCGTTTAACCTTTAGACCAGCGAACCGGCATCAAACGGTGTTAATGTATAACTTTAACTAATCCACCAAATTGAGCGACACATCCACCATTGTCATCCGTGAGTTACTATCTCAAAACAGACCTGGCCGAACTCCACTGGTCACTGCTTCTCACTAGAATTCCAGGATATAACTCTTGAAGCCAATCAGCCCCGCGAGGTTAGATGCGCACTGCTGAGGAGTCCCACAATAGAACGAAACGGCCTTCCAGTGCTTCCAGGTTTTCCATGGTGATCTAGTTTCAATTGACTCATGATCAACAAAAAGAATTAGTAGAAAATCATTTATTAGGAATTTTCTACCCTATGAATTATTAACAGTATTATAAACTATTTTCAAACACCATGATGATGATCGTGGTGTTAAATTTCTACAACTGTCGTATACAAAAGACCAGATCTATATATAGCGCTCGTGCGCAAGACTATAGATCCTAGGTTTGAATCCCGCGAAGATGGGATCGTGGATATGCACTGCCGAGGAGTCCCACAACAGGACGAAACGGCTTTCCAGTGCTTCCAGGTTTCCAATGGCGGTCTAACATCAATTGGCCCGTGAAGTCAACTATTAAAATTACTATAATATCCCCAAAACCCTTTCTGAGATATAATTCTGTTGGGGAAAAGTGATAAAGTATACAATAATCCAATTTAAATAGCGTCACTTTATTCTAACACATGTCTACTATCAATTAAATTGAATAAAACAAAATAGAATAATGACCTTATTTGACCCTTTCAAAACTATGTAGATAGATATTCTGGTCACCAGTATAGGGGTTGTGGAGATTACTAAGTTTTTGATTGAGATCATGAACTGATTGATGTTAGACCACCTTTGGAAACCTGGAAGCACTGGACGGCCGTTTCGTCCTATTGTGGGACTCCCCAGCAGCGCGCAACCACGATCCCGCTCGCGGGATTCGAACCGAGAACCTTCGGTCTCGCGCGCGAACGCTTAACCTACTGAACCACTGAGCCGGCATTCAATGGTGATAGTGTCTGGTCATTAAATATAAACTATTCAAGAACATTCAGAACACTTGTCTATTCAAATCATGATCTACTGTCAACTAGGAACAGCAATAGAAAGAAAGAAGAAATGAATAGCCGTTTTGTCCTAGCATAACATTCTGCAATCCTACCATAGGAAATCAAACTCAGGATCTATAGTCGTGCATGGGACATATTTACATCATTGATTAAGTATTCAGTCATTGAATTATATTATCAATAGAGTTTTAGTCGTAAACTTTTCACTTTTATAACCTTTGGGTATTTTAGTTTAAAAAAAAAATTGTTACTTTGAGATGATGGAGAAGATTTATAGGTCAGGTGGATGATTTTGATGGAGTTTTTTTATATTTCCCTCAGCTCGATGGTTTAGTCGCAGAGCTTTCATCGTTCTTCTGAACAACATCATCAGCACAAACTTCAGGAATTTTCACCTAAAAGTTTGTGTTAATGATGTCGTTCAGAAGAACAATGAACGCTCCACGACCAAACCATCTAGCTAAGAGAACAAATGGTTTGTAGCTGACAGTGAATAGAATCTAGGATATATGTGTTTCTTCCTTTATTTATTAATTTAAACACATAAACATTGGTACAAGGAGGCACCAAACAGATATGCACCACATAAATCATTCAATGTATGTAAGGGCTGGGATAATGTCCGGGTTCCCAAACCAAAACAGGTGATTTTCCTAAGGGGCCACATCCAGAGCCTTTTACTTAAAGGTTTAATTCACAAGGCAGTGGAGCAATGTAAGGAGATGCAGTCCCATGTTAGCTGGTCACCAACAATTGTTTCATACACCATTTGTTTCCTTAGGATCCTGGAGACCATATACATCATTGTTTTGGAATGAGGGTTTTCCAACTCCCTTAGGTGAATCTTCCGTTTGTTCCTATTCATAGCTCGTCAGCTTGATAAGTTCACATTCTAAAGTTGATATTCACTCAAGA